GTGTAAAATTCTTAAAAACTGAAATCAAACAAGCTACAATATCTGACTAATTGTAGGTTAGAAAATCATCCTACAATTCTCTCAAAACTATACTTTCCAAACTGACAAACGCGATATTTGGCTTTTCAGAACTGTTTCGAGGAGAATTTTCGTATAACTGTTATCAACAGTAATTTCTGGAACGTTTCTAATCAAAAATCCATTTTTAGATTTACAGTAATCTCCAAGTAACTGACGTAATTGCCCTCGGTTAAGGTTTTCCACAGTAAGTTCCATTGTTTCTTTTTTTTATTTGTGTTACCGTTCGGCAACAAGTAGAAGTGATAATTTTGAACATCCGATGTATCGTGTAACGAAGAACCGATACCATATCTTGGTTAATCACGAACAAACGTATTTCAGGATCACTTATCCGAGTAGTACTGTGCAATGTTCAGATTTCACGCGATCGCATACAGATGAGCGTTGAAAAGATTTTCGAACGCAAATTATTCGAGGATCGCACGAAAGAGGAAACTCGTAATCATATTCTTGTGGAAGTCGATTAATCGCGATGAAAAAAAGTCAGTGAATGTTGCGTGTTCTCTGTTGCATGTAGAATATCACGGCGCGACGTCTTTGAATTAGGAAGGCTGCAAAAAGTGGTCGTGCAGAAGGAACACTAAGGCTTTGTGAAAACAGGTCGTTATGCAAAGGAAAGAATGTGATGTTACATCGGTAAAGGAATCGTATTCACGTTCGCCTCTTTTCTACCACCGTATCATTAACCTCTCCACCATCCGATCCAAAAATATACTTTTCCTTGAAATGCTGCAAAACCGTAAGACTGTAGGTTAGCAGGACAATTCCAAGTCCAAATCCATGTTTATTGTATATAGGGCGTTCCGTAACAGTTGGTAGAAAATTTTAGGGGTGGTCCTACAAGCGAAAATAAGACGAAAATCAAGAATAACACGATTGCGTTTTTGAGCCTCAATTTTTCAGGTATTCATATCTACGAACAAAGCGAAGGACAAGTGATGTCAGCAATCATGAATAGAGTGGGAAGTAACGGTAGTGTGTTGGTACTTTCGTGAGACATTTCGTATCACCGATTACACTTTTTTCGGAATGTATGATCACTACTACTGTTCGTTCGAAATAGGAATAACCTCGCTCTCGGGCCGATTTTCGTCCGTTCTGCGCATAGACAGAGAGCGTAGCAGAGGGTAAGACGGAGAAAAACGTAGGCGATTAAGTGGAGGTTTGGACGTTCTAGTGGTTCTAGCCCTGCCTTAGGCACGTCGCATGCGCGAAACGAGGTTCAGTCTTATTCTTATTTTGTTATATTCTTATAATATATGTAGTATCGGGGCCTCCATACCCAAAAAATAGGAAACCGATACGGGACAATAGAGAGGGAGTGGTTGGCGTAGCGCGCAAAGCCTCGGCTTGCTAAGCCGAAGGTCCCGGGTTCGATTCCCATTTGGGTCCCTCAATATTTTTCCCTAGGTTCCTACAAATGGGGGCTCGGCCGGGATGGGAGGTATCTACGGCTACACGAAGCCAGGCGCTGTGAGATGAAAACATGTGAGAGGGTGCACGTCTCCCAAAAGAGTTGAGAAACAGAGTTTCGGCTGAGAAGAGTGGCCACTGTGTGGAGGGAGTGTACCCGAAAGTGTTGAGTTTTGTCGAGGTGTTGAACTCTTAGGACATTATTCGAGGGCGAATGTCAGTTCAGGATGGTCGAGTGTAGTATCGGGGCCTCCATACCCAAAAAATAGGAAACCGACACGGGAGAATAGAGAGGGAGTGGTTGGCGTAGCGCGCAAAGCCTCGGCTTGCTAAGCCGAAGGTCCCGGGTTTGATTCCCGTTGTTTTGGGTCCCTCAATATTTTTCCCTAGGTTCCTACATATATAATATCTTATATTCAAGGTTTACTCTTATTTTGAACGAAGAGTAAATACATTCTGTCATGAACCCGGAGAGGTAGAATTTATCAGATAACTGATTTTATTATTACTACAGGTCCGATGATCGGAATTAGAGCGTGACTTCAAAACACCAACTTTTTTTCTCGTCTGAAAATGCGTGCGCGAGGGTAGATATAATATCGGCAAAAATTATTATTGGTTGTTTCTATCGCGAGGGTATGGGTATCGGAGGTTTAACTGGTTATTGGAAGGGTGGAGGTGGTAGTTCTGGAAAGTACGGATTTGTGGGAGGGGTGTAATTCATGGCGGAGGTCCCTTGAAGCCCACGGACTAGCTAATCCTCATGTTTTTGCCTAAGTCACGTACGTTCAAGTGGGTTCGAGAATTCGGAAAGGAAACAATGGTGACATTTTCCAGAATTCTTGGAAGAGAAAGTTTTAGTGTATCTAACAATTCATATAGTGTTCCATCACAAAATCGTTGCTCGAGTGGGCGTGGCTTACTGCTGGAATATCCCTTCGTGCTCGAGTTTGTCTAACCACTTCACATAGAGCTTGTTCGAGATCGGTTCTGCTATACACCGTAATATTCGCATGCACATGCGTATGCACGAAATGAAAGCTAAATAAAAACAAAGCTCGTCTTGTGTTTTCGCAGAGCTTTGATATATGCGTGGACAATTTCGTCTTCGTCAAACAGTCTTCCTTAACTTTTATTTTAGCTTAGTTTTATTTTAGATCGGTTTAGCTTACTTCAATTGTGTTAATGTAGCTTAGTTTAGGGTCACGTGTTTCATCGCGTGAACGATATGCGAACGTGCTTGTAAAATATTATCTTTTTATTCTGGGACAGCAATTTTTTTAAAGACTGCAGCGGTATTTGTGCATTTTTGTGGACATTCAACGGCCCGGCAATCACAGTGCACGTATGTATGTTTGTGCAGCGAAGACTTCAGATAATCGCAATATGCGCGTGTGTGTCTGATATCCATGAAAAGGTTTTTTCTTTTTTTTAACTGAAAAGGCATTCACCCTTTCTATTCGAAAATTCCGTCGCGCGAGTTTCGACATGCCCTTCTGGATTTTTACGAGTAGCCAGGTTTAACGTCGTTCTACGGTGTACATTTGATTTTCAATGTAAAATGTTCGCGAAATTGTGTCAGCTCTTGTGACAGTTTCTATTACCAGGTAAAGGGGTCTTTCTTCGCTTGGTATGACACTGATTTACCCGTCGCACGGCTGCCTGGCCTAGAACAGTGCATGAAAGGTGCCAGCTTCAGGCGCACATTTTAATTGTTACTAATTAAAGAACAAAGCCCCAAACGCAACTTTTTTATTCTTGATTTTCGTCTTATTTTGGCTTGTAGAATCGTCCTTTACATTTTCTTCCAGGAGTAGCCGAACACCCTGTGTAAGATAAGGCAGGAAATAGAATGAAAAAAGTAAACAAGTAAAAATAGTACAAAAAGTGGTAGCAAAGTTTAGCAAAATGTATACTTTCACGGTTACCTGAGTTTGAGGGAAAGGTTAAAAAGATTCACGAACGGAACTGAATTACTTATATTATTTCGTGGCTTTACGGCTGTTACGAATCGCAATGTGCTTGTTGCGAAACCGATAATTGTCCCCCTTTTTGAGTCAGACCATTTAAGAAATCTACTCGGGATAGGGGACTCAGGTAGTGCACGGAATGTTGACTATTAACGCACAACAGTTTGTTACTAAAACTATATATATGTAAATGAACGCGAACAGAGCGCGAAATGTCTAAGTTTACCGATCGGAAAATTGTGTGTGGTGTCCTGTGGTGTTCGCTATTTTATAAACTACGTGTGTGTTGTGAAGCTGTCGTAGCTGGTGGAAGTGTGTGGTGATTGGTTTTTTGGGTGTGTCTGGTGGTGGTGTGAAAGTGGGGAATTTGTTCTTACATATGTTATATTGCTTGGTGATGTCGAAGGTCTATTTATTATTTTAGGTCATGTGGTGTTCAGGTGTGAGAGGCGTCGAGTTTTTGGGTGTCGTAAAGTAATTTTCGTCCCGGCTAAGACCTTGCTCTTTAGGACGTGCTGGTTTATCGGGAATACCGATGTATCGTTCGGCTCGTCGGTACGGCCGAACAACCCAAGCGACGTCTGTTACGCAAGTGACACGGCTATTAGATGTTTCAGAAATCGTCAACTAGAAATCTGTTTAAGAGAAAATTCAATACAAGAGGTTTAAAAATAAGAGGCACTCAAAAATAGCGTAAATGCATGTGTGTAGTAGAGTTAAATTCTTAATCCCATGCATGGTTACCGGCTGTTTCATGCCTGTGAACGACTGGGTTGGGATATTATACGACCAGCGAGGTCGATCCGTACATACGCCTTCATTAACGACTCGACACATTATAAATTAAGTGAAAAATCCCGTAAGGTACATATAATAGAATGTTGATCAATGTGTTCCAAAAAAGAATTCGTAGGGAGAAAAAAGAAAAATTTAGTACAGACACTCTGAGCTAAAGCCGTCTATGATAATAGAAATAAATAAAAAGAAAAATACATCCAGCTGATAATAATGATTGTCGTTGTGTCCCTTTAAGAAGCCAGTCACGAGCGTTATAACAGAATATGAAAAAAGTTGTACTGTCACTTTTGTGGCTTTTCATTTCTGTTCGCAATAACGCGACCAGTTCGTCCCGAATTGTCCCCGAAATTGTTTGATTTTTCGTACCCTCGTACTCGTTTGCTCTCCACAAAATTGCGTTCTCCTGGAGACCCCTTAACTTCCTTCGATAACCGTGTTCGTACCAGAGCAAATATTTTGCAAGCACCAGAAACATTTGAATCGCAAATTAATTTCTGCGACAGCGATCACTTTCCAAGGGAAGACACTCTCCTTGGTGCATAGAATGAACATCAAAATAGTAGAAAGAGTTGAACTTTGTTTTTTTTTTTTTCATTTTCTTTGTATTCCTAGCGTGAAAAAAAGTGACATTTATGTCTCTAAACTCAGAATGCTTACATTTTCATTTCAAAATAGTTCATCTTTTCTCTGGTTTCTGTTGCAGAATTTTTAAGGATGTGAGCAGTCAAACCAACGCAAATGCCCAACAAGGCACGGCTCCGTCAAGAGTGGTCTCCCCAGTCCCCTATAGATGTATTGTAAGTACACCATCACATATTTACGAGCAAAAGATACGAAGATGTAACATAAACGAACATGACTTTGATTCTTAGAAAATATACGAAAGACATCAGTTCCTTAAAAATTAGAAATAGAAGTATGTACGAGGGCGGATTGATAAGTTCGCGGCCTAAGCGGGAAGAACTGCTGCTAGGTGCTTGCAATTTTTACGGTGTAATCTGTGATCATTTGTGTACCGACGTACGAAGTTTCGTGGCTGTGTCAGTTTTTTGTTCTCTTTTACAGCTGGTGAAGTAGGGGTGTTTACAGCGACGGAGAAGAGACGAATAGAAGCGAGTACCTGGTGACAAAGGACATCACCGCAAGGACCTTGAATGATTTTCGCAAGAATTTCGAATAATTTTTGCAAGGTCCTTGAATGATCTTTGATGTGAGGTCCTTTATCTTCAGGTATTAGATCGCTGTTCGTTTTCTAATTTTGTCCATCTCTACTCCATCTACTGCAAATACCTCTACTTCGCTAGCTCTAAAAGGGAGAAAAATGACGACAGAGGCACGAAACTGTATACATTAGTACACAATTAATTACATATTATTCGGAAAAAATTACAAGCACTTAGCTGCAATCCTTCATACTTAGGCCGTGAACTTTTCAATCCACCCTAGTACATATTTCATTATACAAAGTGTCTCCGAAATCATGGTACAAGCGGCCGGGTGGTGATTCTATATGTAGAAATAAGTCGAAAAAGAAGTGGAATATTTTTTCGTTTAAGCCCTTGTTTCGGAGAAAAATGAGGATATTAAGATATTAAACTTTTTAGAGCAGCAGTTTTATATTTTTTCGAATGAACACGTATCCTTTATTTGATACTTATAAATAGCCTAAACAATAGCCTGATAAGAAATTCACATTGAAACGCAGAAACATGAAATTGTTATACGGATAATCAAATTTACATAGAAAAATTTGTACACTACAGAGTACTTCAACTAATTTGCATACTTTAAATAATTATAAAATTATGTGTAACATGAGAAGTTATTATATGCAAAAGTTCGTTTGATTAGATATTTATAAAATATTTTATTACTGCATTTACAGAAGTTATCTGTAATTAACAACAAACTAGTTTTTTAACTTTTAACCGTAATTATGTGAAACGACATTGCTTACAAAGTGTTCTCATAGGCGAACTATAGCTTTCACAAGAATGTCCGTGACTGGATGGTCGTTGTTTTCTGCAAATTCTAATTGAGCCAATTCGCGAGATAAGGTCTTCAATTTGAACGTAACGGACATGGCAAGGAGTCACGAACCGGTCGACAGGACCCGGATGCTATTAAAACGCGGAGACCGTGTACAACGAACTATATTGTCCTAAAATTGTACTTATTATAACAGCAATTATTTCGTCGGATTTACGACGGGCATTAACGGCCTAACTGAAAAGCTGCGTGGAATAGACCTCTTGTAAGAGGTTAATAGACCATTATAGTCGAAAATATTTCCTTGTAATATGAAAATGATTATAAGACTAAAGTAAATTAAAATAGTTGAAAATTATTCAATTTAATTTTTTGACTATTTGAAGAAAAACTGATGAAACGTAGCACGCTATAATTACCTAAAATTTCGTAACTTACAATTTTTACAATATTTACCACCATGCATGCCTAACGACTTCATCTCGCACAGTCTGTAAGAAAATTACCAATAATTTTCGTTATTATGTCGAAAATCAAAATTCCAATTTATCCGTGTTTTATAGTATTATTCCCAGTGTTAATGCCCGTGGTTGTGGCGATTAACTTTCGAGCTTTGTGGATGTTTGCACGATGTTGTGCCGTCTAGATACTGGTTCGAAGGACCACCCAAATGATTGGGACTTGTAAAAACTGATCTATGGTATCGCGTGATGTGAGCTCGTTTCTCCTTGGTTCTCCTTGTTCGTGGTGGTTGAACGACTACTCGACGACTCAACTCTCCGACGTCGCGTCTCGGACGTCCGTGAGAGGGATTTTTGTTGGGACACGCTGATTGGTTAATGGTTAACGATTGCATTTACCAGTCAGCATGTCTAATATCGTCTTTGCCGCCCTTCCAGTGCGCCCTTAGCGCGCTGTCACCTTGGAAGGGTGGGAGACGGTCGCGAGATGTGGGCGGAAGGTCCCAAAAATCTGGAATTTCCTCCGGGTGACTAATCGGCAAGCGGACCGTTACATACAGATGTGCCGTTCGGAAATTCGTGGTTTATGGTATGTTCGTAGGCTATTGAGCGCGAGGGACACAAATTACTAAAAATCTAGCAAAGCAATTCTAGAGACCCTCGCAGGATGTAATTAGACCCGTGCAAGAAAACGAAAATCCTGAACTCAAAAATAACCGTTCCCGGTCGATCGTGCCATAAACCGTTTCTACAGAAAACCTAACACCTAGTTTATAGATATACATTACCGGCCAAAACTTTGGAATCACCTGCCAATTTACATCAATATTGAATCCGCTACTAATTCTTTATTGATTTGAACGGGTCGATCGTGCCATAAACCGTTTCTACAGAAAACCTAACACCTAGTTTATAGATATACACTACCGGCCAAAACTTTGGAATCACCTGCCAATTTACGTCAATATTGAATCCGTTACTAATTCTTTATTGATTTGAAATTGATGTTGTGGAGATCAACAGCACTTTACCTCATTTCAGTTGATTTGAACGATAAAAAATTCGTTAAAAAATTATTATAAATGCTACCTTTTTTTTTGAGAATTTTGGTGCAACTTGCAATGCATAGTGATTCTAAACATTTGGTCGGTAGTGTACATACCAAGGACAGAAATATGTGGACACCTTTCAAAGCAGTATAGCTCTTTTTAAAATTAGATTAAACAGCTTGAGCTTTTTGAATACGTTAGAAGGATTAGTTTACTACATGACGTGTAAAGAAATTTTGTAAAAACTGCGATTAGACGGAATCTCGAAGAAAATAGCGAAGGTTGCTTTTTACAACTTTTTTTATCTGAGCTCGTAATGAAAATTTAAATCATACGTTTTGTAGATCTACGTTAATTATACACATGCTGAAAATTTCATCGAAATCGGTGGATGGAGAAACAAGCGACAAGCATCGAAAGAATCTTCAAATTTGTTACAGTTATAGGCCGAAAGTCGTGAAATAGTGCGATTTTCACAATTTTTAACCGTTTGTAACTCACTGTTAGCCACAGTTGGAAAACCAAAGAACCATTAACGTTATTCTTCGTGGATCAAGAACCAAACGACTATAATAAAGAAATTTACAAACTAAAACACCTTAATACTACACTGTTCGCCAAAAAAATTGCAACATTTAGAATTGGGAGTTGCATAAATCTGGAAATCACATGTTTTTCGAGCTAATCTGAGGAAAAAACGACCTTTTTTAATAAATAAAGCCTTGTTAAACCAAATTTTAATCATTTATCTCTTTCAGTACCCCAAACAATATATGTAAATTTCGGATTTGTGCAATTTCAGTTTTAAGATGTTGCAATTATTTTGACGAACAGTGTATAGGGGAGAGTCGTGCAGTACCGGCTAAAGCTAGATCTCGTTTATACTGTTAGTTGACTGCACTATTGATGGAAAAACAAGCGACGTTCTTTTTTCTTCAGTATTACCAGAGTTCTAAGACGTTTAATGTTTACGCTGGTGTTCCGTACGACAAAAGTTATTTTTCATAGCTGATTTCTAACTTTTCAGGTAATTCAATAATTTTGTTATAGTACGTACATTATTTTTAGACTATTAGGTACATATAAATGACCCGGTTTGTGCAATTTGCTTTGTATATTATGCATTAAACCTAAAAGTTTTTCCACGTGCATGTCGTAAAGTACCGGCCACCTTATAGTCGTCCAGTACCAGCTAAATTTTTTTTTTTATTTTTTCCTATAATTCAAGTCGTTAGGTTCTTTTTTTTTCGTTTTTCTGCAGAAAAATGTCCGAAATGAGCAAGCGTATCTTCTGATTTTATGAAAATTGTTAAAAACATCAGTCCTGCAAATATTTCAGAAACAAGGATAACACAGAGAAAACGACGGACGCAACAGTCTGAAATTCTAACATCAGAGAAAAAATTGAAAGCAAAAACAAGAAAAGCTGAGAAAATACCAAGGAAAAATGAAAAAATCAAGAGAGGAAGGAAGTTACGAGAAGAGATAAGTAAGAAAAAAGATAGCTCACGCAGAAGGAACCTAGGTATTGACGATTAAAATCTACCAACCAAGTAGCTGGCCGGTACTGTACGACAATTTTTCGTACGCTGCAAATTACAACTTTTTTATTTCTACGAATTATTTATCTTTATGAGAAAATTTAAGAAAAACCATTTGTCCCCTTTTATCAAGCACCCTTTGTACTACAAATTACTTTTTTCGATAAAAGCTCTATTCTATTTTTAAATTATTCATCACTTAGACATTAAAATCTACCAACTAAGTAGCTGGCCGGTACTATACGACAATTTTTCGTACGCTGCAAATTACAACTTTTTTATTTCTACGAATTATTTATCTTTATGAGAAAATTTAAGAAAAACCACTTGTCCCCTTTGTACTGCAAATTACTTTTTCGAAATTTCATTTTTACCAACATTAGCCCAAGTTATAGTACAAAAACTTAGAGTGGCCGGTACTGCACGACTCTCCCCTAATAGAAGTGAGCCACTACGCAGGGAAAAGGAAATATCTCGATGCTTTCGTTGTCAAAAATAGTGGACGTACCAAGAAATATCGTAGAAAACCATATTGTGTGAAATGTGCAGAAAATCATCCTACGAATGCTTGCACCAAAGCAAAAGATATTCCAGCAGAATGTACATTGTACAACGGCCCCCATCATGCAAATTACAGAGCAAGCGTGCAGCGTATACAAATAGAAACCTACAAAAAGCAAAAGGTAAATCAGAGAGAAATGTAAGAACAATCCGATGTCAAATAATAAGAGAAAACTTGAGCTATGCTCAGATAAGA